TCGGTGTGGAGGACAACCTGCTGAATTTAGTGCGTGGTGCTGAGTCGACAGTGGATGCGTGAAAGAATCAAAAAGTTTTCCACGGAAAGACGTCGATGAAGGGGAAAAAGCAACTGCATGAGCTGGAGGAGGTTTTCGATAAGCTGGCCTGTGCCGGCCAGGAAAGGGAAATGTCGCTCAAAATCACCATGATCTACCTGAGGCTCAGCACCTGTAGACTTGGTCATCGGGATTCAGCGGCGTTGGATGAGATCCAGAGAAAGGAGCTACCTAAAGATTCAGGACAGAGGCTTCCGGCAGGTTTGTCACCCTTGCCTTGAAGGTAAATTCTAGATTAATTTTAATGACCTAAAAATTAATGCTATTTCACGACTTTACATTTTCTGGATGATTTTACTAGCATGACATAAGTTAAAGTGGCGTCGCGTAAGCTCACTTTTTACCTGTGCACCAACTTTTAAAAACAGATTTAATGCCATATTCATACTCGAATCGGTTGAAAAACACACTTAATCTTCTATTTAACTCGATATCTATCCTTTGCAAGCAATATTTTGAAAATTGTTTGTTTTGAGAGTTGGTGAACAGGTAAAAAGTGAGGATACGCGACGCCACTGTAGTTAATAGTATAATCTATCATCATGTATCACTAAAAACTAAAAAAAAAGAAGTATTTTTTGTCGTGAAATTGTGAAGAAAACATCATACGCCCTGATAATTTCTGACATGTTGTTACGCCCCGGATATTCCACCCTTTAAACTGCCAACACTGGTGTTCCGCATTGGTTCTTCGTTAGCAAATTTTGTGAGAGTGGAATTACGCCCGGAGATTCTTTGATCTTTTTTGTATTCGTTGTTCACACGTGAAATATCAATCGGATGCATTTCAAATGAATCAGGCGTGACTAGATACTACAGAATCAGTACGTTTGGCATATTGAAACATTACAATTCGTAGTTCTGTTGCAAAACGTAACACTGACACTTTTTTAAGGGATTTACCGATGGATCATTTGCATGTCTTTTAAGGAGCGTTTTTCATTTTTTTATGGATCATGTTTAATATTGCATATGTAAAAGTATGTCAGATTGAAGCTAGTATTCTACCGATCTCAGATCTCTTTGTAAATTCAGGCATAACATTTGATAACGGCACAAAAGCATTTGTAAACAAACTTTCTAAGGCCTTTTACACGCGAACCAAAGTACGCCCACGCAAACCAATACCACTTTCGGAAAGGTGATAGTTGCCCCTATCCGATGATGTTGTTGGTTTGCGTGAACGTACTTTGGTTCGCGTGTAAAGGGCCTTAGAAAGTTTGTTTGCAAATGCTTTTGTGCCGTTATCAAATGTTATGCCTGAGTTTATCTATTTTAAGATGGATTTACTGAAAATTCAACTGGACTTAACGTAAATTTTCTATATTAAGTAATGAGCGATGCTACAAAAAGTGATCCATTCCTGTTGTCAGGTATCGATTTTCAGACGCTGCACCTCGATCCCGTTCCGGGAATACTTATATATTGTATGGTATCTGAAACTTTTTGAAAATCATAAGTGATTAGGCAAGTTTCGAATATAACCATATTCTTGAGTATCTGATATTTTTTTCCGTTAACCGGAAGTCGCCTCTTGATTTGTTTTCCAATGCTACCGACGCCAGCTCCCACACCTGGACCCTACCACCTATCGACCCATCAACTCATGAACCGGGGACCAAAGACTTTACTTCCCTTCCGAAGAGAGATGTTATGCCTCAGAACATCCCGGCGGCGCCGACTGGGATTGAAAATTGGAGTGAGAGGTAATCACGCTTACCACTACATCACGGGCGCCGCTTAGTCGCCTCTTGAATTATTTTGAACTTAACACGTCTACTCATCGTCCTCATACTATAAATACGAATTATGTCCAGGAAATGTAGTTAGAAAGATCTGAACTAACATCCGAAGAGCTTCGGTCACCTGAACAACTTTATCATCCTAAATGGTCAGGGTCTTGATATATAGCGTATTCAGTTTATTCTGTTTATTGTGTGGAAGGTCTGGGTCACCTGAACAACTTTCCTGAAGAAAAGAACAACTTCCTAGATTGTAATCATAAGAAGATAGAGCTTTTAAAGTAAGTTCACAGCACTACGCACGAAGATTATAAAAAAAAACAGTCCAACTTCGATTTTTAACCTCTACTTATTGAACTCGTTCCAAAAATACCCATATTGTAGGTAAGGCAAGGGGGAATCAACTCTGCACACTGTGCCGGAACACAGTACGACATACTGTTCGGCACGTTAAGGCACACATTGATACGTATAACACTGTTGAGTGTCGATAGGTTAAATTGCTGAGGATATGCGTAGTATGGCTTACCACTACATTGAAGCAGCAGCTGAAGGTGGGGATCCCCTACATGAGTTATATGGGCTGTTGTATACTAAGCTGCCCCAGATGTTCGAGTTCCTAGAAGGAGAAGTAATGTGCCTGCTCGATTTGGCAGCGATCATAGAAAGTCTCCTCTACTTCCTAGTAACTAATTATTTCCTTGGACAGCTACAGGACCTGAAAACTCAAGTGTTCAATCAAGAATCAAGGCGATAAATACCGTACCGAAGTAGTATGTCCAATTTGCAGCTGTGAGGGAAAACCGACGAAAAACATCGTTGACCATAGACCGCACTGGCAGTTGGCATATATTTGGTTTCATGCGATACTGCAATTCTGTAATAATTGCCTTAATTTTCCAAGCCAAAAAGGAACAACAGCTTTGATGAACTTCAGGTCCAGCCGGCCAAACGAAGGATGCATGCTGTTAATCGTTCGAAATGATGCGGAAGTGGACAAGGCACGACTACCGAGAACTGACGCAAAGTTCTACCACGCGAAACCGGGACTTTTCCGAATTTCCGAACCGAAAATAAATAAAACTTGTAGAACAAAAATGTCTGCTCTCAAATTCACTTTTATTAGAATAAAAAGACGTAGTAGCAATCAAAAAACAAACGATATCGGGTAGACAGGCAAAGGTCCTGTTCTTGAAATCTCTCTCTCTCACAGTAATTGTATTGCAGAAAAATCAGTCAGGGATGAATTCAATTCCAAAACCATAAACATCATCCCGGCCTTGAGGCGGATGCCTCAATTAGTAGGAAGGACCACCAGCTTATGGATTGGTCGCTGGTAGATAGTTTCACCTCTCTTCAGGCTTACGTTACGAACGATGCCGCTACGATCCGGATGAGTAGCAACCACCCGAGCAAGTTTACAATATGCAGGTGGCGTGTTCTCGTTCTTCACCAGAACAAGGTCCCCAATCTGCAGGTTGTCCTGGATTTTCTGCCATTTCGTCCGGGGTTGAAGTGTTGAGACGTATTCAGTCCGAAAACGTTTCCAAAACTCTTCGGTAATCTTTCGTAATTGGCGATATCTGTCGAGGCGATTCATTGGTACAGATGATAAGTCCGGTTCAGGAACAAGGTTCAATGGTTGGCCGATGATAAAATGTCCGGATGTCAAAGCCTCGCAGGAATCAACTGAGTTTGAAAGCGCACACAAAGGTCGTGAGTTCAAGCATGCTTCAATCTGGGTTTAGACAGTGGTCAACTCTTCGAAACTCAAAACGTTGGTTCCCAGCACAACGCGCAAGTGTTTTTTCATGCTTTTTACTGCTCATTCCCAAATACCGCCCATGTGGGGGGGCTGACGGTGTGATGAAATTCCACTGTACTCCCAAACTGCTCACGTATTGGTCTACTTCGGTGTTGAATGTAGCTGACGCCAAAAGCTCCTTTAGCTGGCGATCGGCACCAACCAAATTTGTCCCATTATCAGACCACAATTGACTGGGCAAACCACGACGAGCGCAAAAACGTTTCAAAGCTGATATGAAAGTTTTTGATGATAGATCGGTAGCCGCCTCCAAGTGCACAGTTTTTGTTGCAAGGCACACAAAAACTGCTATGTAGCATTTAACGGTTTTCACAGATCGCAGTAGGCTGGCCTTTATTGTGACAGGCCCAGCATAGTCCACGCCAACGTTTTCAAATGTTCGACTGGTAACAGTTCGCACCGCAGGTAAGCTCCCCATCAATTAGTTTGCTGTTTTAGCTTTCTACCGAGCACAGCGTACGCAGCTATTTACCACAGACCGCACCACTGATTGGCAGCCGATTACCCAGTAGTGTTGCTTCAGTGTCGCGAAAAGCAGAGTAGGACCAGCATGCAGATTCTGTAGATGCAACATCTATAACAGGATGCTTCATGTGAAATGGCTGGTCGAAATGTTGTAATCTTCCTCCCACACGCAGTGTTCCATCTCCATCGATGAAAGGGAAAAGCGATTTGAGTTTACTGTTAGAAGGAAGTGGTTGACCTTTTCGAAGATGTTCGATATCGCTTCCAAACACCTGATGCTGAGCAAAACGGGCCAACTGTAGATTGGCATAATGAACTTCCAATGGCTTCAGTTGTCCAGTAATCTTCTCAGTTCCTCGTACCTTCCCTGACCTTGAATCTGTACACCCACGCTAGCTCTCGTTGCGAATCCTTTAAAGATGTATTTCGTTTCAGGAGATATTCTTCAACTTTCCAGTCCGATGCAGGTTTGACAGTAGCCGTAACCGCCGAAATTGCTCTTCTTTGCTCCGTTGTGTCTTCCGTAATGTGTACCGCTTCTGTACTTTTCTTCCAGATGTCTTGGTTTTCGTACAGGAGGGACGGACCAGTCCACCACAAATTGTGGTCAACCAGCTCCATTGGTAGCAAACCTCTAGATGCGCAATCAGCAGGATTTTCACTCGATGATATGTGATGCCACGAACTACGAGGCAGGAAATCTAATATCGCCGATGTCCGATTTGCCACAAAAGTTTTCCATTTCTTGGGATGCGACGTGAGCCATCCAAGCACAACGGTAGAATCCGTCCACGCGTGAAAGGTAACATCCAAGTGATCCAGTGATACGAGAATCTGCTTCATGAGCTCCACAAGAAGAACGGCAGCGTTTAATTCAAGCCGAGGAAGGGACACTTGCTGAATAGGAGCAACCTTGGTTTTGCTCGCAACCAGCGAAATGCTGACATTGCCATCATCGTCTTTAGATCTGGCGTACACCACTGCTGCATAAGCTGCTTCAGACGCGTCAGCGAATCCATGTAGCTGTACACCGCTCTGTGGTGATTTACGATCCATCTTGGAATGCGAATGTCTTCGATTGATGCCAAACTTGCCTTGATGTTGTTCCACTCCTTGTTGATAACAGCTGGAAGTGGGTCATCCCGCAACCACAGTGTTTGGTACAGTATCTTGATACGCACAATTATCGGTGAGATCCAGCCCAAGGGATCGAAAAACCGGGCTGAATCTGATAGAAGTTGCCACTTGGTGTTTGGCTTGTCGATGTCGAAATTCAAACGGAATCCGAAAGAGTCTGTGGCTGGATACCAATTAATACCCAGTGCTTTTACTGCATCCGTTTCTGATTGTAAATTAACAGGGACTGAAGATTGAGCCTCGAGTTGAGCAGCGTTTGCATTCTCGTCCAGCAGCCGGGAATCATTTGCTGACCACTTCCGAAGATGAAAACTTGCTTCCGATGTAATTCGAACGATGTCTTTCTTCAACGTGAGTGCGTCTTCCAATGTTGCAGCGCCAGAGAGGAAATCATAAACATAAAAGTTTTTCAGCACTCGATCAGCTGCAACTGGAAACTGCGCACGGGAATCACGGGCAGCTTGTCGTAAGGATTCGATAGCCAGAAATGGCGCACATGAAGTCCCGTACGTAACTGTCAGCAACCGGTAATGTTCAATGGGCTTATCGGCTTCCGCTCTCCATACAGTACGCAAGTAATCAACATCGTCTCTGTGTATCCATATCTGTCGATACATTTTTTCCGCATCCGTAATAAAGGCGAAAGCGTAGCTACGAAAACGGGTGAGGACGACAGGCAAGTCCTCGGTGACCTTCGGTCCAGTTAACAGTTTCTCGTTCAAAGAAATTCCGGATGACGATTGACATGAGCCGTCAAACACGACTCGCAATTTGGTTGTTACACTGTCTTGCCGCACCGTGACACCGTGATGTGGAAGGTAGAAACTTTTCTCCGGCGCAACGTTAACCTCGTCGTCTGGAATCCTCTCCATGGGACCAAGATTAAGGTACTCGGTCATGAACTCACCGTACATCAGTTTGAAGCCTGGATCTCGAACGAATCTCCTTTCCATCGCCTTCAACCGCTGGATTGCTGCTGGCATCGATTCACCTAATGCGGGTTTGCTTTCGTCGAACGGTAAACGCACTGTAAATCTACCAGTTTCATCACGTCGATGCGTAGTATTAAAGAAATCCACTGCTTGCTGCTCCTCCTGTGTCAAAGGTTTCGGTCTGTTGACCTCTTCAACTTCCCAAAATTTCCGGAGAACCTTGTCGATGTCCATGTCCATGCTGAGACTGATGATGGCCGTGTTGCAATTCACCTCGCTGGCGTCGAAAACTTGACCGGCAACAATCCACCCAAAAGTTGAGTTGATCGCCACTGGAAGTCCCGATCCATCTTTTACCTTGCCATCTTCCAAAATAGCCAAGAAAACATCAGCTCCGAGAATAATATCGATTCTGCCGGGCTTGTCAAAATGTGGGTCCGCTAGCTGCAATGTTTCCAAACATTTTAGCCGTTCAGGATCCAATCGCTGATTTGGTACGATCCGCGGGAACTTGGACAGCACATAAGCCTTGACGTTGACCACCGAATTGTAGCAAAAGCGAGAAGAAATTTCCAGGTAGACAACTCCTCTGGTGGTTTCCGATGAGCAGCTTGCGATTCCAGTGACAATCAGATTAGCGTTGCTTCGCTGCAATCCGAGATTGGTCACGCAATTCTCCGTGATAAGTGATGCTTGTGAACCGCTATCAATCTTCACTCGTACTTCCTGGCACTGACCATCAATTCGCTTCACTCGTACTAATGCCGTTGGTAGTAGGCCGATGACAACCGAAGAACAGCTGTTTTTGACGTTAGTCGTGCAGGACACCGCTGGCTTGATGTCGACTGCTGCAGAACTTTGCGGTTGCTGTGGTGAAGGCGAAGACGAAACTTGCTTTTCTGACGGCGGGGTCGATGTTAGCTCATTTTTGTCTGCCTTGCACAGCATCGTATGGTGACGTTGTTGACAGTGTGGTGTGCGGCATACCGACTTCGACGGACAGGATTTGGCGCAATGGTTTGGTCTCAGACAATTGAAACATAGTTTCGCTTGCTGCACTCGTTCGCGCCTTTTGTTGACAGAAGATTCCTTGAAGACGGTGCACTCATAAATCCTGTGGCTTTCCTCCCAAACCGGATACGACTGCTGTTGAACTGCATTGAATGCCTTGATTTCCTTTTTTGCGGTGAGTTGCTTGCGGTCATCTCTATGAGGTTCCTTTCTGCCATACTTCGAGGGTTTTCCACCGAATACTGCACATGTCTCCAACGCTTCACACTTCCTTTTAAGAAACTTGAGAAGATCTACGAACGTTGGGTCGTCATTATCCACAATATGCTGTGCCCACTGAGACCGAAGACCATCATCAAGCTTCTTCAGTACGATGTGATTCAACCAAGGATCTCTCGTTTCGCAAGTTGGCCCCAGGGCACAGAGTTGACGAATTACCTCGTCGGACGTAGACACTAACTTTTGTAAGCTTGCAAGATTCAGATGCCTTATTGCCGGTTGGTCGCAGAACTCCTGAACCAGAGCGGCAACTGTGAACTTTGGTTTGTCGAAGTGCTCAACACCTGTTTATAGTTTGCGTCGGTGATAGAGTAACTGCTAACTAGGCTTCTGGCGTCACCTTCCAGATGGGACATCAGTAATTGTAGCTTTAGAGCACTAGTTAGGTTTTTATTATCGACGCCGTTGACGAAAAGATCTTTAAAAGAAGCCCACTGCTTCCTGTCACGTCTGAACACGGGCAAATTGTACGACGGCAACTGCGTGTCGATTGGCTCCAAGTGCTGCTGACGAAGCTGGACAGCCAACTCTTCCATATTCGTTGTACTTGTCGCTTGGCTGGAAAGGAGGGTTCGTTGCGTTTCGTGCAGTACACGGACTGCCTCCTTCAGCTCGTTATTAGGATCTACCACTGTAGAGTCACTGCCAGCACTTGATGGACCTTCCTTCACTTGCAGCTTCGTGAACTTCGAACACCTGTGTTTCATGTTCTGCCAGGTGCCTTGCACTCGCATGTACTCTCTTCAGCCTCTCGAAGGCCACGTTTCTTTTCCTGATCAGCTCCTCCATTGTCGCTGATTCACGCCGATCCGGATCGCGAAGGACCAAATGTTAATCGTTCGAAATGATGCGGAAGTGGACAAGGCACGACTACCGAGAACTGACGCGAAGTTCTACCACGCGAAACCGGGACTTTTCCGAATTTCCGAACCGAAAATAAATAAAATTTGTAGAACAAAAATGTCTGCTCTCAAATTCACTTTTATTAGAATAAAAAGACGTAGTAGCAATCAAAAAACAAACGATAACGGGTAGACAGGCAAAGTTCCTGTTCTTGAAATCTCTCTCTCTCTCTCACAGTAATTGTATTGCAGAAAAATCAGTCAGGGATGAACTCAATTCCAAAACCATAAACACATGCAATGGCTGTTTGTTTCGAGAGTTAAAAGCGGAACATTCTGAAGCAGGTAAAGGCAACACAGAAGTTTTTTTTTCAAACACCAACCACTGTCCTCCGTCACCACCTTGTCACGTTTTTCCTATATCTAATTCATTGCATGTCACAGAATCTAACACCCCCCCCCCCCCCCTTTTTCTACACTTATTATGAGTAGACTGCTTAAGATCAGTTATGTAGACCGTACTGATAGCCCAAAAATCTAGATATAAGTCTTATGATATTTCCTCCCATCCTGCTTTTTCCGAGATGAACTCAAAGATAAGAATCGATGTTTGTGAGGATGTGGTGGTGCTTGAACTCGTAATCCTTGCTGTAATCAAACTATATTTACTACTGTGATCGTGTTTCTCAGTTCCTTCATGACACACTCGTTTGGCATCATTGAACCAAGCGGAATGAATTAACCCACCACACGCGTGTTATTTTATGCTCGTTTTACTTTCAACAGGACACTCATATACCATAACAATTATGAACCATTCATGAGATCTTGAAGTTGTAAACAAACAATCTCAAAAGTCATAACTGCAGGGTTGCCAAACTCATGGTATACTGAGACTGACACCTTGATTGTGGCATTTCGGCACGTTCGGCACAACGCTTGGCACAGTTTAAGATGTGCAGAGTTGATACCCCTTGAGATAAGGCCTTGAGCAATATGTTGGTTTGAACTATATGAATGGCACAGACATTTGTACCACATTATCTCGTAACGAAGTGGACATTGTGATTTTATCGGTTCCTCAGACTTTTATCTTTCAATAAGCTTTCAAAAGCTAACCGTTATTATTTTTCTCAGATGTTTCAGTTCACGAATAACCACTTTTGGTTGGAAATTTTGGTTTCCGCCATGAATGTGTTAGGTGGATTTTCATTTCAAAGAACGAAAAGCAGTCATTGTACTCTTGCATAATGCCAATACGTAATTGAATTATCAAAAAGCAACCCCATAAGTTATGTAAACATCAACACAAACATCACAAGTTCGCAAAACGAAAAATAAAAACAAAATTCGTACTTTGCATCCAGTAGACGACCCTCTTGTTTGTAAGGTGGGTGCCTTGTGAATCAACACTCTCACGCGGGAATGAATGGCGTGCTTGAAGAAGAAAACAACCGGATTGCGTCCACGACACCACCGGTGGCGCGGAGAATGTTGGGATTTTTGTCAGTTTCCATCAGCAGATCGGTAAATTTTCCATGGAACCAACAACCCCCGTCCGTCCGTCCGTCCGTCCGTCCGTCCGTCCGTCCGTCCGTCCGTCCGTCCGTCCGTCCGTCCGTCCGTCCGTCCGTCCGTCCGTCCGTCCGTCCGTCCGTCCGTCCGTCCTTATGTACGTCACGAGCCGAAGGTATGTAGGTTGCACGAAAATCACTGCTCGAGAATCTTAATGAGGAGTAGATTATTCCTTTTGCAACCGCTACAGCAGCTGTCCAAACCGGAACGACAGTGACATAAATTTAGCACAGTTTGGCGTCAAAAAATGCACTGGAGACGAGTCGTTCACACCTGCTAGGGAAGATATTATTACTAATAGCCGGTTGTGGGACTTCCCCCTGCCGAATGAAACTAGTTTACTTGATGACGTCAAATGATTCGTGGTCATGGCCATCTGAAGAGATCGATTATGAGTGTGTGTGTTGGTGTGGTCATTGACAGATGATAACCGACCGAACCACCGTTCTGGAATCTAGCAATAATACAGCAACGGAAAAGGACCAGATTGCGAAATTTCAGTTCACCAGTTCAACCGGTTTTGTGTTGATCATCAGCGATCAGCTACGATCGGAGCTTCAGCCACGACCAAAATCAGTTGTTGTAGTGAAATTAGGCAGATCGGACGTATCGTGGGCTGCTAAATATCGCCTACCGAAAGGATGGCAATGGATGCGATCAAGGTGATCGCCAGTATTTTCTTGGTGGCAGTTGTAGTCGTGGCTGAAGAAAATTATCAATGCGGAATTCCTCGAGCCAGGACGACGTTCTTGATCATTCATGGAGAGAGTGCTCAACATGGGTATTGGCCATGGCACGTGGCGTTGAAACTGAAACAAAGGGATGGAACGGAGAAGTACGCCTGCGGTGGAACGTTGATCCATAATAGGTATGTTTTGACGGCGGCGCATTGCGTTCTGAGTGACAATCGTCATCAGTTGTTGAGAAGTGCGAAAGATGTTTCGATATGGGCTGGTGTTTTCAATCTGGATAACCCGGAAAACACCATGCAGGTGCGGTCGGTGGCAAAGATTCAAACTCACGGATACACGAGGGACAAATTACTGCACGATATTGCGCTGCTGGAGACGACGGAACCGTTCGTGTATTCCAATTATATTTTACCGGCTTGCTTGAATGAAAAATCTGGATTGAGTACCGGTCTAGGGACGGTAGTAGGCTGGGGAGTTTCCGAAAACGACACAAATTCGTCTACTTTGAAGAAATTGACGATACCCGTGGTAGCCGAGTCGGAGTGTCTGAAGAGCGATCCTACAATTTTCGAAGATGTTCTACAGAAGGAGCTGTTTTGCGCTGGCTATGCTAACGGTAATTGTTATTATTGAGGCATGTTTGATTAGTTGAATAATGTTTGATCTCGGTAGGATCCGCTCCATGCAATGGCGATAGTGGTGGTGGTTTGATGGTTCAACAGGGTGACGCATGGTACTTAGCAGGTATTGTTTCGTTCACCAAGGTCCGCAAGGCAGGTTCAAGTCTCTGTCTGGCAGAATCGTATACGGCTTTCACCAATGTCACTGCCTACTATGATTGGATCAGGAGTGTAACGGATATCGACTTCCGTGGAAAGTTCAATCAAGAACGTAAGGTTTCTGTGGGCGATGATCTATTATGGCTTCAAATGAACGCATCTTTCCTTTTTTAGGAAACATCCCTTGCAAAACTGCCTTCGGAACGGTAGGAAACTGCGTACCGCTACAACAGTGTAGGGATATATTCAATATGATCCGAGCCCCACTTGTATCTCAACAAGATGCCTACTATATCAATCGTTCCATCTGTCGTATTGGTGGCATTCCCCGGGCTGTCTGCTGTCAGAAGGAGCATATTGAACCTTTACCTCTACATCCAAATGCACTGCTTCTACCGAGTGACTGTGGTCGAGCAAGGGTTCGCAGTAGTTCTACTGCCGGACAGTCCACCAGGGTCTTCGAGTTTCCGTGGATGGCAGTGGTGCAGTTCAAGCCGAAAAAGAATAATATTCCACATTGTCTGGGAACACTGCTCAACACACGATACGTGCTGTCTGTCACCGGATGTAAACAGAAACAGAAGAATAATCCAATGTAAGTGCAATTGAGGCATTCGAGGCTTATATTTAAGAAATAATCTCCGGGCTTATTTTTTTAGTGATCACGTCCGCTTGGGTGAACACACGGAGGCCACCGACATTGATTGCACTTTCGACGAACAAGGTAAACGAATGTGTGCCGGTAATGTGCTAGACGTCAAAGTCGAAGCTTTCATCGAACATCCGCAGTTTGACGTTCCCATGTACACGAATGATCTGTCCATCATTCGACTAACAACCGACGTTGATTATACCGGTAAATCTGATCTTGGTGTGGTTTTGAAAAGAATCATCATTCCCGATTTCTCTCTAGATCAAATCCGCCCCATCTGCCTGCCACTGTACTCCCCTTCCCGAACTCACGTCCCCGAGGATCTGATCATTACCGCCTGGGAGATGGACTACATGACGAAGAACATTTACCAGGGTGAACTGCGGCGATATCACCAGAAGTTGATGGACCTCGAAGAGTGTCAGAAGAGATACGAGAAAACTGGATTCACTCCGTCGTTGACCGAGGACCGGATGTGCCCGCTGCAGCTGGGACCACAGTACAACTGTCAACGGATGGCCGGGGCACCGGTTGGAACGTATATCAATACTGACGGAACGGATCGATTCGTTCAGTTCGGTCTTTGGAAATTTGCACCGCTGAACTGCACCGTCCGGGAGTCGGTTCCCGGACTGGCGATGAACTTGGTGCGGTATTTGGATTGGATCTTGCAGAGCTTGGCTCCGTCGGAGAAGAGTATTATTGCGGCATGAGGAGGGGCTTTTTGAAAACGGAATAATTAAACTTGAATTATGATGGAGTTGAACGTTGGTTTGAAGGTGTCCTGGCTAATTCCGCGGGTTTCTCTTGTCAAGTCCAGATTATGTTTGGATATACTTCCAGGCTAAGTTTTGAAGACTCCAGTCAAAAGTATGCCCAGAAGACTTCTGGAGAGCATTCAGAAAATGTGCCCCAATCCCCGAGCAAAGTCTGAGATCAAATTGAAAACTAAATTTAGGTCGTTTGAACGGTTGAAATATTAAAATTGAAGAGCTAAAACACGACAATAAAAATAACATTAGAACAACATTTTCAGTTGTTGATTTGCTGTAAATAGACGAGCCAGCCCGAGCAAAGTCGGTTAACAAAATGAAAGTATATCGATATTAAAGTTTGCAGTTCCTATCATAATGAAAACTAATTTTGATTTCAATTGTCGCGACAGAA